AAAAATTGCCACCTTGGGAGTGCCAATGACAGAAGTCAATGTTGATAGACCACAAGGTAAATATTTGTCTGAAGTTATATGGTTTACTACCTATAGTTACAGTTTAGTTTTTGTTTATTTACCTGTGTGAGGTAGCAGATCTGGGAATTCAGTTCACTTTCCACTCGGTTGATAGAGCTCTGGAACTGGAGCATTTGTCTCTCTAGGAAACTGGCATTGTGTTTGTCTTTAGAAAGTTCCAAGACAGTATTACCTATCCATACAAGCACAAAATATTTTATGTCAGTAAAGAAGTGAGTTTACACAACCATCATTTCCGGACTAACACATACACACATATTTTTCCACATGCTTCCACATAGTGGAATAGTGTAGGGTGATACATAATTATCTGTAGAAATGTGGCCACCAATGTAGCAATAACAAAAAAAATAAATCACCCAGTTGGTTGAAAAATACAGTTTCTACATAACAAAATGTCTTCACCAGCGCATTGTAGAACCATTGCTATTTCCTTCTCCACGTCCTCCAGAGATCGGAGCCGCTCGTTAGCCATCAATGTTTGTCTCCGGGAGCAGAAATCCGACGTAATGTTTATCCAACGCCACTGAAGTCAATTCACAAAGCTTTTAAATTGTTCAAACTTAATTCTGGTAAAGACACAAGGTCGGGAAACAAAGCGCTGGTTTTGATGTCACGTCACTACCAGATAAAAAAAAACTGAGTGCGCGTCTACATTGCTTTACGGCATCGCATGCAGGCGGTGACAGTTTCAGGGTGCATTCAGGTACATCTTGTAAACGGAAACTTAAAACTGAAGAGAGTATAATGGGGATTTTCTCCTCTTAGTGTAGTTGTTTTTGTGTGTTTCTCGTAAAAACTAACTTATTTATGTTTGTTCTCCTTTTAATTTTTACCCCTATTCATGTATGGTAAGCCTGCTTCTAAACCTTGCACTGAGGAAAGCGACTAACCAGAAATAAGGCACAAACTTGATGAATGCAACAGATCACCAACACTCTCAAATAAGGTTTAAAAGTTTTTTTTTAAGACTTCAGAATATTCCTTTTCAGATGCCATACTGTTACTGCGCAGCAAATACGAACGATGGAAAGATTGATTTAATTAATCTAACCCAAGGCCACTTAATCACAAGACGTTGATGATTGTTCATATTATAATTCATAATGTGTTACCTTTCCTCAAATAATTTAATACAGAAAGGTAACTTGCTAAAGATTTATATCGTAATAAATTAAATACAGTTGAAGTTACCGTACAAAAAGTGTAGACGCGCAATTTGTATTTCAAATTGGGATAGCAACAGTTGAATCAATGCCGGTAACGTCATGAGCGTCGCCGCTGAAAAACAGCGTCACATTGTCGCCCAAAAGTGACGTTGTTCTCTTTTAGTTTTTTTTAAACAGAGAGGCACAATGGCTACATCAGGTTGGCTGCATGGTACATCTGCAATGCGACTTACAGAAGGTTTGGTGTTGGTTCTAAAAGAACAGCGCCCTGAGTATTTGCCTGATGTGTTGGCTAAATACAGAGAACATGGCGTTTTCCCGATACAGGTAGAACCCTCCCCGAATAAGCACGTTGGCTTAAAGGCTATCTGTCTTAGCGTCGGAAACACTCGTGCAGCATCCGTTACAGCATTCGACTAACGACTATCTGATATTTGTAGTTATTACACTGTTACGGTCTTTACCCGAATATGTGGAACTGGCATCTAGAGTTATTTTTGTTTAATATGTTTTATTTTTACATTTAGACAACGGCAATATTTGTCTTTTTTTAGGGTGCTAGCGATGTCGCGGGTCTCGTGGGTTATACCAATGCGAAACTGAGTTCGAGCAAAACCAGGTGAGAATTGACTGTTGATGTCTGCGTATTAACCCTTTCAGTTGTAAAACAAAATGTGGTTTAACATATTATGTATTTTTTCATTGATTTGTGGCTGAATTGTGTGAATTTAACAGTGGCCTCAGTATATAAAAAATTAGATTACCCCTATATTACCCATATAGATTAATCGAACGATCTTACAGCTTTTGGTACAGAAGTACTAACATTAAAAGTCTGAAGATGCATTGGGGCTCTTAACCAAGAATCAGTCAGTTTTAAAACCAATAAAGACATTTGCCACATGCTTCTCTAACCTTGGAAAAAAAAGCAAACAGCAAGAACATTAAGAGTATATGAATAATTTGAATCTTATTTCAACAACTGTATGTAATTATTGGAACTATTCCTTCTACATAGGTAATCCAAAAGTTTAAGATTCATCCATATGTAATATAAAGTACAAAGTCGTTTACAGAAAATTGTGCCAGTGCAAAATATCACTGTGGTACAGCGGAAGCTGTATTGCAAACTGTCTTTGACAGGCAGATTACCTATCTCTGCTTTTTAGACCATCTTACAAACAACGCTTCAACAGAGCATCATAAACGTATAACAACAATACAGATTTTCAATGAGGGAGCCATGTATACTTACATACTTGTATAGATGTCCAGTACTAAGGAGTTATAAGCTGATAACACTGTTTCCCTTTACATTATGTCATATACAATACAAAACATTTATATCTGTTAGTCATCATCTTCTGTGTTGCTGGGAAATGTACATTTTAGGTTTCTTCATACTTGCAGTAAAAACCTTACAATATCACAAATAAGTAGTACATTACACTATTAAATTCCATATTTTCCAAGTGTATAAATATATATTTTCCAACGTTTAAACTACACATAGTAAGCAAAAGTACCAGTGATTTTTTTAAAGAGATATTGACACCACAATGGTGGCGTGATGGTTAGCTCTAACTTCTCACAGCAAGAGGGTTTCTAGTATAAATCCCTGAGGACTGGGGACCTTTGTGTGTGATTGGCGATCCATCACCAGTATCAGCTTGGAAAGGCACAAGAAGTAATTTGAAGTCTGAAATAGCTTCTATGTGCCCTTCTATGTGTCTGTTTGTGCAGGTTTGAAGGGCTCTGTACGCTCTCTCTGCTGGTAAAAGACAGCTCAAGTGACCTCTTCCAAGTGCACTGCCTTTCCTGGCTGCGTTTTCTTCAACAAGTCATTCAGGTATGAACCAAGCATTCGTTGGTTGGCACAGTAGCATCCTTAGGATAGATTCTGTATTTTTTGCAGGGAAATGACAAAATCCGGACATTTTTTTCTTGTGTAAGACCTGAGCTTGTTTGAGATTCTGATGGTCTGATAATTTAAAGCGGACATATTAGGTTGTCTTGGTATGGTGATATTTGAAGAAGAAGTTCAAATCCTGAGAGAAAAGTTTCCACTTTGTAGCCATTGGCATTTTTCAATTCCTATAGGAGATGCCCTATTGTTTATTATAGTTTTAATGTAGTCCATTATGTGTTGTACAGCTGTTTTGTGAGGTTCGTTGAAACCTGTGAAATGATACCAAAGGTAAAAGCATTTCTTTTCTGCATCTTTTTGTATGCCGTTTTTATCAGTTTTTGTCAGGGGCCTCTAATTATGACTGTGCAAACTTCTTTATTGGAAGCAGGAATTTTAATTAATTTAAATGTAGTGCCTTGACTATCTTGTTTGAGTGGCAACTGTCTTCCAGTTTGAGGTGTATTGTTCAGTAAGACAACTTATTTGATTTAGCACTTGGCTGTGCAAACAAGACGTGAAGCTGATACTTGATTTCAAAGCAGTGCTTGCTCTAAAGGTCTAAAGCTTCTTTTCCACATCTCATGTTTTTAAACTTGAAATGCATTACTTAACTCAAATACAATGTTGCAATAATACTTCAAAAATCAATCATCTCATTACTTTGTCTGATATCGAGCTTGAAAAGTTCAGTTTAGGCCACTGGATGAAACTGTCCAGTGGCCTAAACTGAACTTTTCAAGCTTGACCATGACCTGGATGACTGAACATCTTCACAAATTTGTCTGTGGGTCACCAAGATTTCATTATCCAGCTAGTTTTATCCTTTTGTCAAATGAAAAAATAATTATTGTTAGGGTTTTTATTCTACTTATCTGAAGGTGACTCTTTTTAATTACATTTTATTTTTCAATTGATCAACACATTGTTTAATTCATCAGAAACGCTTGTTTCATGCTCATTGTAATACCGTTGTTTTTAGTTTTATGTGTATACAGTAAATGCACCACGAAACTCGAACATTTACACATATCAATGCTATATTCTTCTGTTGTTTTCTTAGTCCCAGGCTCCACTTCAGACCATTCAGCTGGCTGTAAACATTCTAAAAGACGTGCTGCAGTACTCACACCAACAACCACAGCTTGCCAGGGAAGTTGGCCTCAACTCCATCCTAGGCATCTTGACATCTTTGCTGGGCCTAAAGATGGAGGTAAGGAAACAAGGGAGTGGAATGTTGTTTAAAAAAAAAAAACGGTAAGGTGACAGGGGCCTTGATACAGTACAATTGTTGGACATGATATATTTATCAGGATTAATGTTGATTTTCAGTTAAATGCCATCCTTTTCAAAAATGTTACTGAATTACAATAACTGTAACAACCTGAATTTCAGGAATTGTAAGTTTATGCTCACTTTTTATATTGCTTTTTTTGGGGAGGGGGGGGGTTATATATTGAATTATCAGTTGTTCCAGCTCTTGATTGGCAATAAACTTTATTATAACTATGTTTTTGTTATTTGTGTGACTCCAGTGTGAACTTGCTGCCATGGAGGGAATGATAGCCTGTATGGTCTACTACCCAAGAGCCTGTGGATCCCTCAGGGTGAGATGCACGGTTGAAGACTAAATGTAACTTCTCTTGCTTACTATAACATTGATGAACCATTTCCTCCCATCAGGACAAACTAGGAGCATATTTTCTCTCCAAAATGGACAACACGAACAAAAAAATACAAGAGGTTTGTCATTTTTTAGTAAAAATGTATTGACACTGACCTGAATAGAGATGTCATGGTTCTGATTTTTTGTTTTTCATTGTCTTCATTGTCTTCTTGCAGATGGCCTGCCAATGTTATAGTCATCTGCCCTGTATGGGGGGTATGTTAGACAGACCCATGAGTGTTGGAAGAGCTAATGGCTGGAATAATCAGATCCATTGCCTTCTTGCGTCTGCAAATGCTCTACTGGCTCAGATATACCAAGGTTCAGAAGCAGGTGAGCCTGTCCACAGTGATCATACTAGTTGTGTGTTTAAAAAAAATATATATATTTCAGTACTTTATGTGTTACTTATAGATGGATTGATAAATTTGCTTTAAGATTGCTCTTACATGATTTATATTTCCTGTCACAGCTGGAGCTTTGCAATATCAAGGACCGGGTGTGGAGCTTGCCTTTCCTCACCTTGATGAAGCAGATCCACTATATGTTCTGCAGCTCCAGCACAGATATTCTGCTGTGTGTAAGACAATTAAACACACACTCAGGTAAGATGCGTGAAGAAGCGTAACTTTTGATAAAGAATCCACATTGTGGAAGGCTGCTCATCACTGAAATCTCAAAATAAAAATATTGATGAACTGCTTACAAAATGGGAACTAAGGGGGAAGATGTGAAAACATCATTCTTAATTTTCTAATAAAGTTTATTGTGGAATTATTCCATTTACTTTTCAAATAACAAGATTTAATGGTACTCCAAAAATAAGGGAATGGGAAGAATCATTAAAAAAAAAACTAGTCACACAACAATCAATATTGTTGCAGTCTTATGTTATGAGGCTAACCACCACACAGTACAGTTCTTTTTTTACTTTTTTTCTGAAAATCCTTACCTCAGTTTAGCTAATTGAATTTCTCTGCTTCTTTCCACCAGAGTGGATCCCTTCTCAGCTGTCCATCTGCCGGTCAGACCAATACTTAACCTTGTGTGCCGAGCTCTGGCGGTTAGCAGGAAAAGTTTGGTGAGTCTGTATGTTTAACTACACAAACATATGCACACACACGTGTGTGTAAGTGTATTATGAATACATCTATCCAGTGTCTAGCAATTCCAGGCCCTGCAGGTGGCTAGGTGTAGACAGTCAAGCTCAATGAACAAATGGGTCACGTCAAATTTTTTAGGCTGATTGAAGACCAGGTTGACAATTTGTAGAGGTTTGACAGTACAGGCTGGGAACCAATCAGGAGAGCGTTGCAATAGTCAAGGTGGGAGTGGACCATTGACTGCACCAAGAGCTGAGTGGTATGTCTGGGTATGGCCTGAGCTTTTTTTATGTTTAGTAATGCAAAGTAACATGGCCGAGCCCTAACATTAACTAATCATGACACCTAAGTTTCTAGCTACCTTTGATGGAACAAGCGATTCTGATTCAGTTTGGATGTGACTACCTTGGTATTTGGCTGGAAAGACAAAAAGTTTAGTTTAGATTTAGTAGGAGATGATTGGCTATCCGCCATTTAGATATCTCTGAGAAACAGTCTAAAATCCGTGCTGAGAGCATATGGCTGTCAGTTAAGAATTACAAATAGATCTAGTAATCTTCAGCATAGCACTGGTATGAGAAGCCATGTGATCAGATGATCTGGTCCGGACAAAGATAATAGTTCCCATTCCTGAGCCTTGGGGGACACCTGCGGTGCGGTGTTGTGCTGCAGGTGTGACCAAACCAGGATGTTTTTAACGACCAACCAGTGAGGTACGACTCAAACTAGTAGTGTGCTCTCACTATGTTCAAGGCTATAGACATAAGTATGTCATGATCGACTGTGTCAAATGCAGCCAAACAGTCGAGTAGGAATATGGACTAAGGTTTCTGTCACAGCCAGCAGAGCCTTTTCACTGAAATGGCCACTCATACACCACTCATTTGTGTCAAGGAGGTTGTTTTGCAAGAGAGGTTCTGTGAGCTATGAGTCTGTGGGAAAGAAGGTTTGTTGAGCAGCTATGTAACCCAAGCTTGCTTGTATGAAGTAGAAAATGTGCCTCATCTCAGTTATTTGCATTTCTGACTGCTGCAGTTACCGCATGAGCTATGGACTGGAATAAATGTAGTTGGACAGCTAAATTTGATAAATTTAGTCACATTGGTCTCAGTGAGAGGGCTGAATGATGAAAATGAAGCCATGAGACGTCTTTGTCCATATGTACTTTGAAAATGTTTACGCATGGACAGTTTGGTAAACTCTTTGCTTGTAGCTGCCACTTTTTCAGTAAAAATTTAGGCGAATGTGTCTGCTATTACGTTGGTTTCAGGAGGAGGAGGGTTAAGTAGTTTTAAAGATTGAAAATGTCAGTGTGTCTGTCTTTGTGTCAGTTGTACTGTGAATCTCGTCAGTGTAGAAAAGCCTTTTTTTTGCATCACTGACAGTATATGATATTTCTTTTTGCAGCTCCGAGGTAAGGGTTCCGATATGTTTGGATGTCCATAGATTCATGACGATTAATTTTTTTCCCCTTTGATTTATGCCAGAATTTATCAACAGATGGAAGCTTGAGGCTGTTGGTACTCCCCAGTGTACACACAAGCACTTTTGAGGTTCTTTCAGATGTCATCACAGTGTGAGTACCTACTCTTACCACACTAACGATTTTAGCAGTTTTTGACCTTTATTTTTTACACACTGGTTTCAAATATTGGCTCCCCGAGAAAAATATAGTATTAACCTCAACCTTTTATGCACATTTTTTATTTTCTACATGTTTAAAACGTCGACTTGTAGTGCCTTGATCCATTCTTTTAAATGAGAGAATCAACCTTTCTAAGCATGAAAACATACATACAATCATCTAACATGACAACAAGCAGAGAAATCAGGTTAAACCATAGCACTGCTAATAAACAATGTTTACGTATTAATTAGTCATAAACTCTAATGAAATATCTGTTTATTTATATAATCAAGTAAAAATGTCAGAGAATGCTGACATAGTTTTAATGTATTCAAGCAATTTTTTTACCAATAAGTACTGTCCAGAGAGTAAGAAGGAATTAGAGGACTGCCACCCGTGTGGCAGAAACTCTGAAGATTTTTCAAACTTGACATTGTTATGCATTCAAACTTTGGAAAACCCTCTGGCAGACTGATTCACTACAGGACAAAATTTTGGCGTAGTGAAAGTAGTGTGCTGACTTGTATTTCGGAGAGAGCAAACAATAACTCCACAACTGTAATACGACAATGATCAATTTCAAACCACTTTATTAGTCCCTGTGGGGCAGTTAGAAGCAGGCAAGGTAGTCACGAAATAACAATATATTCCAATCCATCCATCCATCCATTATCAATACCGCTTATTCCCTGATATTTTCATTAATTTATTGAATTACTATTCATGACTTTCATTCCTAGGGGGGTGGTGGAATAAAGTAATAAATAAATTGTGCAATTTGTAAGGTTTGAGGGGCATATCAGTCTGTATCAATGGGACAGCTGAGAAGGAGGGCAGCTTGTGGAAGTAACCCCCTCTTTTGTGTCCTGCTCTCCGGAAAATGTAGCTGATGTCCAAAAAGAAGCCTATCAAACTCCTGGAACAGCATTAGAATGGTTCTGAAAGATCCTGCATGTTGTCCTCAGAATTTGACGGATCTCGGTTCTAGTCTGATGATTTTAAAGCTGTTTTTCACTGTGTTTTGTAAGCATCTCTGGTTTCTATGGACTGCTGGAGTAAAACCAGCAGATTATGGAAAAGGTGGCACCACACTCAGTCAGTAATATGTTTAAATTCCCTCAAAGTGTTGGAACTGCTGGAAGGTGCCAGCAGCAAATGTAGAGCAAAATATGAGCAGAGACAAGTTGTACTGAGAGGGTACTAGTGGAAAAGTTCCAAATTTCTCAGAAGTCTGGGCATTGTGAGTTTAATGTAGTCTAATAAAAAGTGGTTGCTGCGTATGTACAGTCTAATGGCGCATTCCCATTAGTGTCTACTCAGCCCTACACGGCTTAGATGGCTTTCCTTTACAAGCAGAAAGATGGTCTGACCCGCACATGGCGTCATTTGGGCAATAGCAGGCCATAGTTGAAATGCGCCATTACTCTTGCATGAAAGTCATCCTCAAATGTAGGTTATCCACTAGGCTACGGCTGGTGATTGTTGTAAGCTGCATGTTTCTCAGCCTATCTCGCTATAAAACTGGACCGAACATTTACAAATAAGGTGTCAGTATCAGTTAAGCAGGGGTAATGCAAATGAACAGGGCTAAGAGATTCAAGCTTATGAGAGGATGTTGGAAAGATATGTCATTTGAAATAAAATTCAGGAATGTTTCATTCAGTTGGGGACTTTCAAAAAGCATGCTAAATATGTCATAGTTGTGTTCACTTGCCACTAACTTTAGACCATTAACAATGTTGACACTATGTTTAATGTTTATTTCTTACAAGACTTACAGCTTTGTGACTTCATGCCACAAAAACATTTTGCCTTGCCAAACAGACTAATGAAATTATTGAAGAGGCCGGAAAAAGCATTTACAATCCATCTTTGTGTATGCCACCTGTACATATTTGATAAAAGGTTTTTAAAATCTTTCTAATTAGATATTTCATGTGACAATGCCTAAAGATAAGTATGGCTTTTATAAGTACAATTGACTTCCTTTTTAAAGTTATTGGGTTCAGCATCTATTCAGATGGGCACAATAGTCCGGAAATAATTATTTTTATAATAGTTATTATAAAAGGTACTTCTTTTCATCCACAATTCAAAAGTTGCTGGCTTTTCACTCATGGTAATCCATCAGATTTCAAAGCATAAAAAATGGCAGCTTCCTAAATCAGCTGTTATAAGACAATCATTTAAACTTTTTAAAAAGCAATCTCATTATTTTTTGGCACTAAAAAACACAATAAAATGTTTAATAAATAACTAACTTAGTTTTTTCAATTGATTAAAAACAGTTCTGTAAGATTTTAGATACAAACTGGATTTATTGACAAGTTTAAAAGGAAAATATAAACGGGGGTCCAAAATCTGTAAAAAAAAATAGAATAAAATAAAAAGTGGTCTGAGGTGAATGGGGAGGCTAAAATTCACCATCATTAATGTTAGCCAGCGATCTTATATTATTTACATCAGGAGTAAAACGTATTTAAATTTGCGATGGAGATCTGAATATTGTGCTATTGTGTTTGTAGAATACTTAGTTATCCCCTTTTTGAAGTGTTAGTTTCATCAATATTTTATCCTCATTACCACTTCACAGTGGGTTGGTAGCCTCTCTAAAACTGCAGCCACATTCATGCAAATGGAATTTGCTGGATGGTAAAAGTGCCAGAGGCATTCTGTAAGCCATTGCATCTCATATTCGGTAGATAGGCTGCCATTGGGGCCTAATTATGAAAATATTCGGTTCCAAATAATATTTTGAAGTGTTAGTTTGGTGGTGCCAATAAGTCAGACCAGTGCTTTCAAGACGGAGTCTTTGATAAAACCTGACTCTTCCTTTAAAATGTTAAACATATACATTATCGTTATTAACAATTGTTACAATTTAAGCATGTACTACTGTTAACACTGTGAAAATGATCTTTCTATTTATGTGCATAACAGAGTACGTAGTGGCATGGTTCAGTATGCGGCTGTAATCCACAAGCTGTTTTCTCAAACCCTTTCTGCCTGGACGTCTCCATCTGAAACCAATGTTGGAAAGCAGAAGGCTTACAGGTAACTCACAGGCTTTTACACCTAATCCAGAGCACTATTGGTGACTGTTTTTAGTTTCACTGTATGGGAGGACTTCTTATCCCAGAGGTCTTGAAAGAAGACAGAAAGAGAGAGACTTAATTTAATAACCTATCAGACGATAGCAACTTATATGTTGATGATGGTAATGGGTGTAAAACAAAATTAGATTTCCCTCGAGCATCACAGCTTCCAAATCAGTGAAGAAAATTATTCACAAATCAGTTTTTCTTTTTTTTCTGATCATAAAAAACACCTTTGCATAGTTTCGAAAAATACACTCAGTGCCATTGGAGTGACTGTAGTTTGATGTAGTAGATTCTAGAAGCACTTATCTTTATCATATTCTTGTAAACCAGCCTCTCAAAATAATAAACAACTAGAAATAGCTGTTCCTGCATAACATCTGCATAAAAGTGCCACAAGACTCCAATAAATTGGTCAGTGAGAAATAAGCTGCAAAACGTGTATTCAGATATGAGCCATTTGAAGGTAGAAGTACCATTGTTGAAAAGAAAGCTTAAAGCAAAAGTTATAGGTCAGCGAAACTAGCTGAAGACTATTTCAACATGGAGAAGAAGAGGTCTCATTACAAAAGTCAAAGGTTAGGTGAAGCAGCAGAGGTAAACTGAAAACAGTTTAAGAAGATAAATTGTCACTATTTTTAAAGGGTACAAATGTGGTCTTGCATTAAGTACACAATAATATTTTTGTTGTGACCAATGACTAAAACCTGGTTTGATTAAGACAATATCCCATTGTGGATTTTATAAGAAAGTATTGTACAGTTTAGTTCAGCTGATAACCTTGCCATCATTGTGTGTAGGTAATTCAAAGGACAATTTTTTAAATTTAATATAAATTGCTACTCGTAATTTCAAGAAATGTACACTGGGGCAAAAAAACATTTAGTTAGCCAATGATTGTGCGAGCTATCCTACTTAGAAAGATGAGACAGGTGTGTAATTCTCATTATTGGTATATTTCAACTATGAGAGGTAAAATGAGGAAAACAAGGAAATCACATTGAACGCTTGAAAAAGTTACAAATCAATCTAATGTTCTGCTACCTTTTTACTTGGCATAGCACACAGAGATACCAGGTTGGAAGGTTTGATAGGCAAAGTGAAAACATTGATAGCATTGCGGTCCGCTCTTTTTGCAGACAAACACGGAGCAACTCTCTGCTCTTGAATGGATTCCTACACCGTGGCGCGTTTAATCCGATTCGTCATATTGGCAGTCTCAGCAATTAGGACTTTTTTGCATATACATCCGTTTAAACAACGCACAACTACAGTTCACAACACAGATACGCGTGAACCCTGTCTGTGGGCAGAATCACAAAACGTCTCCGTCTGGTACGGCATCACAGGCAGCGTTATTATTGATCTCGTAATTAAGGTCTTGGTACCGAAACTTGGGACTGAAAGACGAGGCATGTTTCGATACTCAGTACTACTGAAGCATTTCAGTCGGTGCCACTAAAGAACCGTAGTACCCATACAAGATTTCATCCCGTGGGATCAAAATGATAACAGTGAGTAAAAATCCCAGAACTACATGGAGGGACCTGATGAATGACCTGCAGAGAGCTGTGACCACACTACACGGAGAGAGATGAGCTCAAATACTGCAGTGCAAGGTGTGTTCCCCTGGTTAAGCTAGTACATGTCCAGGCTTATCTAAATTATGCCTGAGAACATATGGATGATCCAGAAGAGGATTGGGAGAGTAACATGAAAATTAAACCAAAATAGAACTTTTTGGTAAAAACTCAACTCGTCATGTTTGGAGGAGGAAAAATGCCGAGTTGCATCCCAAGTCTTGAGTTGAACTTGTGTTATTGACTAAATACTTTTCTCACTATAATTAACAAATGAATACTTTAAAAATAACACAGTTATTTCCTGGAATTTTTTTTCTTGTCATTTTGCCTCATAGAAGTGTGCCCAAGATGAAAATTACAGACATCATCTTTCTAAGTAGGGGAACTTCCACAATCATTGGCAGGCTAAATACTTTTTTGCCCCACTATTGAAGCTGTCAATTCAGCAGTTGTTTTTGTAGACTGGATGGTCTTAACTATGTATGTGTAGATGGTAATGATGCCCTTTTTCCCACACTTTGTAGCTCAGTGAGGGAATCTGTGTATAGAGCCTTAGAATTGTGGGTCCGAGTAGTTGGAGCATCAGCTAACATCCTTCAGGGGAGCCATGGTCATGCACAGCTGCTCTTCAGCCACCTGCTTGGTGACATCACTCCAGAAGCCGAATCTGCAAGGGTAAAATTTTACTCATAGAAACGTTAAATTGAAATATGTATCATATTATGTATAATACAAATGTGTTTCTTCCCATTCTCAAGCTCCGAGCTGGTCTGTCAGTTGATGTGGTTCCTGGTGGAAAGCCAGGACCTCGACGGACAAAGCAGTTGGTCATTGCTGATGGAGGGGAACAGTCGCTCCAAAGGAAAGGGGACTTTTTCCCCAATCAAGATACATGTCTTTCAGCCCTTAGAGGTTGGGTGCTATGACCATTTTAACATGTTATTACTAATTGTTCTTTATGTTGATGTTGTAGCCCTGTAATTGTTTCCTGACATGAGACTATTCTTCTTCTCAGCACTGAGACAAATCATACAGACGAGTGGTACACTGCTAAAGGAGGATATACACAAGGTAAATGTCAAACATAAATAAGTAAATTCTCCTTTTGAAAATTCCAGTGCATCATTTTGATCGAACCAGCAGCAGAAATTCAATATAAATTCTGATATTTCAATTATTTTCGAGTGAGCCATTCATTGTTAAACCTTCTGCAAATTATGGGCAGTGGAGGTGCAAAAAAAAAAGCCTCTCAACCGATCATTAGAAGGCTCCTACCAGAATCCTGCATTTTGTGCTTAGGGTATGAACAAAATGCGATCAGGAAAGAAACTCTTGCATCACTCTCCAGCTCGTGCTAGTGGATGCCCGATGTGCTGCCAGACCATAAGTTAGCTGTCATATCTCCGGTGTGTTTTGGCTCTGCATCAGGAAAACCTATAACGGGGAAGCGACCGGGAGGCTTCCTGAGCAGAGGCCTAAACCACCTCCACCTCTACTGACTTTCAATGCAGATTAGCAGAAGTTCCACTCCAATTTTTCTCTTGATGGCTGAGTTCCACAGGACCATAGGTGAGGGTTTGAAGAAAATGTACCGGTAAATTGAAAGCTCATCCGTCTTGTTATCCTCTTTGCTACAACCAGAGCACTGACCTCATTTACTGCTGACAAAGGCACTGTCCATTGAGAGCAACAGTCTCTGATTTGTAAGAGCTGTGTCTTTTCCCGTCCTCTTCACACTTAGGAAAGAACCATTCCAGTGTGCCGGAAAGGTATTGGCTCGAAGAATTCAACAGAGCCATATTACAAAGCAGAAATGTTAACTTAGGTGCCCGAACCAGACAGCCGTACACATACTTTTTTTGTATTTGTGTTTGCCTTGCAGCGGCTCCATGAAGTGGTTTTGCCTCTGTGTGTACGCCTGCAGCAGCAACAGTCCGTTAGCAGCCCTGCACATGAATCCGCAAGGGGCATTAGCGGGCAGTACAGCAGTGCCATCACCCGGAGAGAGCTGTATAGGTAAAAAAAAAATTGACATCATATTTATATAAATAGTCACTGAATTGTATTTACTTTTAGTTGTTTTTGTTTTGTTTTTCTTTTAAGAACTTACATTTTTTGCACCATTTAACTTAAATAATGTTATCTTTTCCATTAGGTACAGTTGCCTTACTTTTTGAACCCAGCCGTTGTAGGAGGATGGCTCTGATTGCGTCCATTTAATTGTAACGTATTTAAGGGGTGCTGTAAAAGATAGGATTTAGCTCGTTCTTGCATACCTGCTGGTACGATATTGATCAATGTGAGTGTTACATCCTTTTTCGTTACATCCCCCTGATCTATAGAGTTTAACACCTCGTCCCAAAAGTTTTTTTTAGTTTAGGGCAAGAACAAAATAGGAGTGTGTGATTGGGTACTGCTGAGCCACAGTTTCTCCAACACGAATTTGGTGCTTTAGGATCCATCATAGTGACTACATCTGGGGTCCTAAAATATCTGCTGTTCCATTTATATTCCCAGCACGTATTTGAGTTTGTAGCTCAATGTCCCTCAGTCCAAACACACCTCCTCTGTTTGCCAGAAATCTTTGTTTTGTCCGAGTGGGCCTATCGAGATTAGTTGACAAGAAACACCCTATACAACACCCAATTTCTTATCCTTTTCACCTTTTTTGAATGAGTTATGGTTACAGATATTGTTGCATCAGACCCGGATGGTTCCCTTGCTTTTCTTTGTAGGATATCTATAAAACATTTATATAATTAATTTATGAAACAATATGGGCCAGGACACTTATTGTTAAGAGACTATATGACTTTTTAAAATGTTCTCTTCTAGGATTAACTTATCTTATTGTTTACCTACTGTATCAGATCATTCAGAAGCATTTCTGTTTTGTAAGTAATTTGCTATTCTAGTCTCATCAGAACGGTATCAGTGTCTCAATATAAAACCTTTTAAAACTCTGTAAATGTTTCACCGATTTCTTTTGGTTTTAGGATGTCCATTTTCATAATACTGGTGTTTGGTAACACAAAGGTTACCATCCTCTGAGTTACAGTAATACTTTATTTTGATTGGACTATGCACAACCTTTACATGATAACTTCTTAAAGCTAATGCACTCACTAATTTAGAAAATGTCTGGTGGTATTAAGTTGTGTAAGAGGCAGAGACGGTTAGCTAATGTGTAGGACCAATTATTCAAGTGAAGATAAAATGAAAATGCTAAGGCTTTGCTGCAAGAAGCACAGTATTTTTGTAGCTATGATTAGATCCTTGGGGAAGAAAAGGATCAGATTGCAAAAAAATGCTATTAAGTGTTTGTTGTTACCATAGTGCAAAGTAGAGGATTTAGGTCCATGGCCACTATACTAAGCAGCAACAAACACAACCCAAAAGAATTGGCTGTGTACAAAAACAGTCAAAAGGAGAAGAATTATAGACAAGAACATGTAGGAACTCAGGCTCCTTACATAAATGTAAATGTACTTATACGACATGTAAAATCTAATTATATCTTACGTTATATTAATACTAACCGTATACTTGAGACAGTTCTAATTGTGAGTTTGTAATATAAAAAATAACCTACAATGTAAGGCACATTTCCCTGAGATGACCAGCAGTATTTAAGATTTTTTTTTCTTTCAGAATGTTCAGTAATGTATATGTTAGTAATGTGAGAGTTTTGACTGTTAAGAGGGTGAAATATCTGCACTAACATTTAGCATGTATACATTTTTAGGCTACTATTGGCTCTGGTCCTGGTTCCATCACCATTTTGTCCTCCACCCTCCTCCTGTGCAGTCTCCATCTTCAGCAATGGACGTGTTGACCGTAACATTAAGGTGACTGTTCTGTAGAGACATGTTGTATGATTAAAAATACAATGCTTTGAATTCCATATGATTTTTAATGTTTAATCACATATCAAAAAATTACATTTTATACATGACAGGCAATAATGTAATTTCACTTTTTCTTTTTTGCATTATTTTATTCAAAAAGACCTGACAAACATTGCCAGAAAGCTAAAACCTCGGAACTTGAAATGTCATCACCACTCTTAGAAAATAATAGAGTATTATATCAAGTCATACTAAAAACCATGACATATACATTGCTATTCTAAATATACTGGCTTTGTTCTCAAAACATTGTTCAGTCTATATCAAGCAAGGACATTATACTGGAACATTTGCTTGGAGCACTTAAAATAAAGCATTTGTGTAAAAAACATGATAGAAAACATGTTATCATTTGTAATTGGAAAGATACTTTCCATTTTACATTGGGTAACTGCTCACATAGTATCACATACTTATTGCTATAAGATTAACAGAATAAGCAGATGCTCTCTGATAAATGGTAAATATAGGGTTAAGAGAAGTGATTAGCATTTAATGTATCTTAACATCATAATCGATCAGAAAAAGTGGCTGTGGCGGTGTTGTAGATTGTGTATGAGGCTGCTAAACCAAGCATGCTGCAGCCAAAAGTTAGCACACTTAACAACAAGTATATTTCCAGACTAAAGGACAAAGGAAGTACTTTTTCTCTGGAACGTGATCACAAGGCAGGCAAAATAATCAAAATATCAACCCTATGGAAAATTAACATCGCTAATTGAAAAGAAGAAAAGTTCCATGACAAATATTGACAATGCAAAACTTATCAGCCAGCTGCTATATAAGGAAATATGAATCTTATTTGTGAAGAATGTAGTTTGTTTGTGGTTTGATACACGGGTTAAGTTATTCATGGTGTCCGAAAACTGTCAGACATACGATAACTTACTTATTGTCCTTTTCTATTCTTGGTCCTAATGTCTGTTGGTGCTTTTTCACAATTTAGTAATTAAGGCTTTCCTCTACTTTATCTGGAAATAAAATTGCCAAAAAAGGTGACATGAAAATATTATCTATTTAATTAACCATACTTTTATCTTGAATTTTGAAGTATAGCCTAATTTCTTTCAAGATTTTTTGCTGGAGTTGTAGATAAGAACACACAGATGTAAAAAAATAAATTAATTAATTAAATTAAATAAAAAAAAATTTAAAAAAAAACTCTTTCATTGCTCTATTTGTAAGTGGACTAATTCAACAAATGCTAACTCAGCTTTTACCATACACAATTCTTGTTTTTATCATTAACTATGACTACAGTAAAGGCATTGAAAGGCATTTTGTAAACAGGCTTGAGTGCTGTTAGTCTTAGTTACATAATTAACTTTTTTCCTTGGGTGACCTTACACTTTAATTCCCACTCTTAGGTCTCTTCATTCTGTGCCAAGGCGCTGACCATCTGTAACTCTGTTCTACACTCTCGGATTCCCTCCATTGGTCTTCCCTTACCACCCCTGACCCCAAAGTCAAGTGGCCCTGCATCTGTGCTTTCATCTCAGGGTCCCGCCTCTCGACTAACTTTGTCCACCCTCCTGGAGGGCTCCCTCCCTGGGCCTGCTTTCCCCGCTCGCCATTCTCTCAGTTTGGGCCCTTCGTCTCTGTTGGACTCCTTGGAGAACCACCTCTCCCTGGTTCCAGGCCTGCCAGGCCAGGCCCCTCCCCCAGGAGACTTGATCTTGTCCCAACACTCGCACCATCAGCCTGACGTCTCTGGGCTGGGCCCTCCAGAGGGACAGAGGCCCGTATTCGTTCGCTACGACAAAGAGGAAGCGGAAGACGTGGAGATATCTTTGGCAAGTGACTCGGACGACAGTGTTGTCATTGTTCCTCCAGGGATGCTCAACGTGGAGAACCAACAGGTTGACCCATCAACAAACCCACAGAACATGCTTCCCACTCTTCCAGATGGCACCGGTATAACATTGACAAATGATTCCGTCACCATGGTCCCCACCACGGCAGCAACAACTGCAATCGATGTATCCTCACTCCCCAACACCATGACCACTTCCTCCCCTCTCATCACCACCTCAACGGCCCCTAATAATTCCTTACCTCCCTCTAGTACTTCAGTGGTCTCTTTAGTTCCACCTTTGAACTCCGGTACCATCTCGGCTCCGCCTGGTGGTTTGGGTGACCAACTGCCTTGCAAAGCCCAGCTCCAGCAGATGCTGATGCAGTCCCCTACGGCAGGCCCGCCCAACCCTATAGGCCTACCGCTCCAGATGCATCAGCTCACGCAGCAGGGGAGACACCTTAACCAGCACGCGCCGGCGCCCGCCAGCGAAGAATCAGCCGTCATCAACATCAACAGCAGTGACGAGGAGGACGACGAGGAAGACTTGGAGGACGACGAAGAGCTAGAGGAGGAAGGGATCGACGAGGATGAGGAGGAAGAAGGCAGCGACGAGTTTTACGATGGAGAGGAATATGAAGACTTTGATGAAGAAGATGCCGAAGAGCTGGAGGAGGAAGAGGAGGATGGGGACATGCCACCGCTGGAGGGAACAGAAGACAAGTTAGTCGAAGAGGATATAGAGGAGGATAAAGTGCTCCGACCTGCAGTGGATGAAGGGGGTATGGCTGGATATATTGTTGAGGGAGAGACAGAAGGAGGAATAGAAGAGCTCCAAACTAGCAGAGCAGTGTTAGAAGACAGGAAGAAGGTTCAGGAGGTGGAAAGCATTGGTGTTTTGGAAGACGAACGGGATGCAGAAGGCGAGGAGGACGAAAGCGAAAAGATGGACGATCCCACCATGCCACAGATTTTATGTGTGACCGGAGGAGCGCTGGAGGAGGGAGCCGGAGCAGGATCGGGGCTCCAGGAGGAGATGAGCATGTGGGACCAAGATGCAAAGGAGAGCGAGCGGACAGCGGCCTCAGGAGAACACGTGTCCAGTCAGAGTCTGCAGGTAGGAACCACAGCTTCCCACTCATCATTTTCTGAATCGGCAGAGATCACAGATTGGCATTTTATCCCTTGACATATAGTCAGTTTTTTACCAAAGGCAGAGTTACTAGCACTTACATCCAAATTCACATTATCAGGTGTGACCACAGGGCTTATTTTTGACTTTCACTTTTCTTTTATTATTTGGGATCTACCTGTATAAATCCACAGATAAGCTTATTTATTTTGAATATCGGTTTACAAAAATTATTATAAAGGACATTCATTGAACTACATGAATATAGTTACTGCACTGAAGACACAAAAAGGTCCTAAGTACCTGGAGATAAAAAGAAATGTGTAAATTGGTGCTATATGTTAAAAAAACTGATTCAAATTTTTGCTATATCTTCAGCCATGGAGCTCTTGTAATATGTGTTATTTTTTTGCAAAATCAATACGTTTCAAATGTTTTTTTTAAAGAATGTTTTTAACTTTTTTAACTTTTTTTCCATGCAAAGCCATGAAGGGCATTGTATGTGGTAATTTGGATTTAATATTAATTTGATGTTTCAATTTTTTTTAAACATTGTTTTAACTTTTTCTAGGTGAGAAAATACTTTCAAAGATAGGGATAAATTCAACCCTATTACAATTTAATTGATGGAAATCCGACCATAATTGAGCAAATTCCAATTAATTTACTTTCAAGTTTGTTAAAAAGCCAGTTTAAAACAAGAAATGATTTAACCATTTCACCAAAGATTACACTAAGACTTCCCTCTAATCCCATTTTTATTCATTAAAAACTAAAATAGTCTTATTTTTCTACCTGGTACTTTTAGTAATTTTATAATAATTTAGTAATTGCACTTTTTATGGTTTTGTAAATATCCACAGGAGCCCGATAATGCAATGGAAGATGCTGTTAAAGATGACAAACCATCCAAAAATCAGGAGGAAGAAATGGTTGCTCAAGTGTGTGATTCAGGCGACGCGGACCTCGAATCATCTTCTGGTCAGAACATTAAAGGACAAGAGCAAACTGGTGCTGATCAAGCAGAAATAAAGGAAGCAGAACAATCAACAAGAGAAGAAAAGTGTGCAGGACAAGTTGAGCAGGAAGGGAGAAGTGTTGGAGTGGATGGAAAAGGAACGAAGAGGAAGCGAGAGGATGGATACACAGAAGAAGATGAGCAAAGCACTGAGAAAATTAAGGTAAAAAAAATGATCTAAAGGAATACAAAAAGTTCAAGTAATACATGAACTATATGGAGTTTTAACAGCGAGAATGACCGACAAACATGCTGGCTGCATGTTTGTCGGTCTTAAGTTTTTATCAGATATCGATAGAAGCATTTTCTCAGTATGGCAGCCTCTGCTTTTTCTTTTTTTCAGCCTGATGATGACGCCATGGCTTCGATGTTGGCTGATTTTGTCGCCTGTCCGCCTGATGACGAAGACATTGCCACCGGATCCAACTCCTCATAACCTACTTTCCACCTGAACTGATGGGATTGATGCGACCGCGAAAGATTGTTTGGATACTGTATCACTGTAACATGGGGTAACTTAAATCTAGAAATGTTACTGACATTTTTAATTTACCCAATAAAAAGACGGTCATTCTTTAAATGACATGTAAACTTTATCCTAATTGTTAATAATTTACATAGCTCAGAATGGTGCCTTCATTTTGTAATTGTTTTTTGTTTTTTATGTTACAGTGATATGCGGGATTACAATTCACAGTCTGCTTCACAATATCACATATAATATTAGAGGGTGTTAGAATTGTTTTTGTGACGTCACCAATTGCAAGTAGTTATTGTAAAAACCATACATGACAACCAAGCAAAGCTCCGCTTTCCATTGTTCTGTATAGTACTCATTCTGCATTTAGTGTCCAGGTCTCTTAAATTCCCATGTGTGTTCATGAGGCTTTTTGTCATTGCTGTGATATGCTTTTCCTAAAAAGTAAAATATTCAATCATGACTGTTGCACACTAATCTGTTTATTCTGAGATACGTTCGAGAAAATTGCAGCTTGAAATATGAGCTAAACAAAATCCTAAAACAAAGTAGTCCCAATACTTAAGCATGGGGAAACAGAGTAGCTGAACATGACAGAACTGTCACTTGGTACATATATTGCTGTTTTGTGTTTAGTTCGATGACAAGAAAGCCTATGACTTGATGCCAGAAACATGGATATTGAAATGTCTGTAGCTCTACAACATTAACAGGACACCCTGCAGAAACCAAAGGGGACTGTGGAAGACAACACTGATGATTTCAAGCCATTTACACAAGTGACCATCGAGTGTGATATTAAGCACGGCAATGCTCTGTCCCCACTGCTGTTCTGCATACGTGAAAACTTCCATACCTATACCATCACAAAGGGTAGCTTTCGATACTACTTCTGATATGGAGCCACAACCACCTCCTATCAATAAATGGTATCAAACTGTGTACCACAACTGAGCAACTGACTCATTATACAGTAAGAAATTTCAGATAGACTAGATGAGTAATCTTAACTAAAGTGATTATGACTGTAAAATATATGTATTGAATTGTATAAAAGCACACATGGGCGTGTACATATGTGTGTGTGTGCATGTATGTATGTGAGTATGTATGTATATATATGTGAGTGCATGTATGTGTGTGTATATATATATATATATATATTGATTAGTTTATTTTTTGCCTGAGCATATATATATATGCTCAGGCAAAAAATAAATTAATCAGTTTCAGGCGAAATGAGAAGAACAAATATCCAGGAAATCACACTGTGAGATTTTTTTAAATAGGTTGTCAATTAGGGTGGATATATACAAGATCAACAGGACCCTAAGAACCTTCATCAGGAAATCGATGGCAATGTGGCGAACAACAGTAGAGGCCAACTTAAAACCAATTGTATAAGTCATCAAGTGCAGAATCTCCCAAGGTGATGGTCTATCCTCTCCGTTGTTCATCCAGGTTATTAATACTAGCTACACAACAGCTACACAACAGAACTGAGGAGGATGCATTACTAGAAGCTTTACTAGAAGCATTACTAGAAGCATTACTAGAAGCTAACAATGCAGACATTGGGGATAGCTAAAACGAAAAGACTTGGAATTTCACAGGCAAAATGGGAACCACGAAGAGGGCATTAGGAAAATTGCAACTGCTAAATACCTGCAAAGAGTAAAGCATATCCTGAATAGTCAGTGGTCAAAACTGATTACGTGTTTAGTGAGCACCTCAGGTAACAGAAAGCCCCCATGACAGGACAAGGTATGTACCACCAGCAATTAGAAGTGGCTGATACCAAAAAATCCTACCAATAGCTGGAGAAGGCTGGACTCAAGATTGCACAGAGGCACCAATCATGGTCAATAGAGGCTGGACTCTACCACACCAGGGCAGAACCCCACAAGCAAGCTTTGCAACAATGATACTCAGATAATCAAGCACTTAACAGTAGGGTGCAAGATGCTAGCAGGCAGAGCATACATGCAACGCCATAACCAAGTGGCCAGCACAGTATAAAGGAACATCTGTGCCGAGGATGGCCTGGAAGCCCCATGGTTAAAATGGGATGAACCCACAAGGGAAGTTGAGAATGATCCTGTTGGAGAAGATCCTGTAGGACTTCTACAGGACTTCTACAGGGCAAGTTGGTGATGGTCAACCAACAGGACAAGCAGACGAAGAATGCCGTAGAACGCCATAACCAAGTGGCCAGAATAATATAAAGGAACATCTATGCCGAGGATGGCCTGGAAGCCCCATGGTTAAAATGGGATGAACCCACCAGGGAAGTTGAGAATGATCCTGTGGGAGAAGATCCTGTAGGACTTCTACAGGATCTTCTACAGGTCAAGTTGGTGATGGCTTACCAACAGGACAAGCAGAGGAAGAATGCCGTAGTGGTAGATATAGCTATACCAAGTGATAACAGCAGGGCGCAAGATGCCAGCTTCTTGGATAAAAGTGTCTGCTAAATGTATAACGTAAACATGATAGGAACACCAGGAAGAAGGAAACCGAGAGGCTGGAGAAATACCTAGGGAGGAACTAGAGAGGAAGTGGAGGGTGAGGGTATCAGTGGTGAGGTCCCTCTAGTGATTGGAACACATGGGGTAGTGACCCCTAAACTGGGGGAGTGGAATGATGCCATAGGGGTAAAATGATGGTGGTCGCTATATCATCGTGGATAGATAGATAGATAGATAGATAGATAGATAGATAGATAGATAGAT